TGTCTGCCCAATGTCCAATTCTCGTGTAAAAGCACTAAATCATAATTTTTTACAAATCCATCTCCTATTAATGATTTCAATCTAATTTCAATGACTTCATCAGCATCAAATTGATATGTCAGATCACAACATTTTTGACGGGGACTGTGTTATTAACAATGACTTTTTGTCAATGGTGTGTTAAAATGTAGCTGGGTCTAAAGTCCAAAATGATGAAAGATGAATACAGGTTTAGTGTTTTACACTATAGTTTTTATCCTGTTATAATGAGAATGATAATAATGAGATTTTTGTTTCAGGATGGAAAATAAACACACAATATTTTGACTTGTATTGTATATTTGTATGTATATTTTTGTCACAAACTTTTGTTAAAAACCACAGTCAAAACCCTTTGTTTTATTGATCATGTCGATGCTAACATGTATACCGGTATTGGCATATATTTTTGTTCACTTATGAGGATTATTTAGGAAAGGTAATTCTGAAGTACTTCTTTATTATGTACTGACTGGTACATCTATATTGTATAATAAAATCTGTTGCAATTTACAAGTTGGTTTTCAAGCACATATGTACATGTACATCAGTGTGCTCCCTTAGACTACTGGTTTTGTAGAAATCCTGAGTTTTAAAATGGAACTCCCCAAAATCAAGTTGAGTAGGTTTGTTGACTACTGAGGGTGATTCATCTTTCATAGTTTTCATCTTTCATAATGGAGGGAGTCTTCAGGGAAAAAATAAATAAAATTGTCTATGAATGTATGGTGACTTAAAGCACTAACAAAAATGTTATGGCTCGTGATTAACTTCGTATTTAATTATTTTGTTTATAAAATTACTGCACACTGTCAATGTTTGTAATCTTGTGTCTTGACATTACACTATGAATCTGTTTTTATACACATTTCTTTAGAGCACTGAAACAAACGGATACACAACAGTTGGAAGTAGACAACCGGAAAATGGAAGATAGATTACGTGATTTGAAAATGACAATGAGTATAGAAAAGGAAGAAAGAGAGTGAGTGATATATTTTGATTGTAATACATGTATTTCATCCTTCACTGCTAAGCTGAAATTTAACTGCATGTTTACTTTATAATAAAAGGAAAAACTGTACTGTACATAATGAAAGTGGCAAGCTTTGATTAATTATTACTGTGTCTGGACAAACAAGTAATACATTTTGAATAAAA